AAAAATAGGAAGAACAGAAATTGGCCGATAGTTTGAAACTTCTGTTGGATCACCAGATTTAAAAATGGGAGTAATCTGAGCAAATATATGAGAAATAACCCCCTGTATTTAWTATTCACCTACATGTTTCCTCTCTCCCGACTGCTCTGATGCTGAACTCACCATCAGGCTCTTTGGTCAGGGGAGATGTTTTATTTGTTGTGACAGGTGGAGCTGCAGATCKGCAGTTCTTGTTAAGACTGTCGCTGGCTGCCATTAAAGCGACAGGAAGCTTTCGGTATCGTTGCAAATCCACTGGCAACTTGATCCGAGCTTAGCCCTGGCTTAAATCTCTGCTAACTCTGCAGTGGCCTGACCTTCGCACGCAACTAACAGACAGAGGTGAAGGACTTTGGGATGACTCTCAGCTACTACCACACCAAATACACTAAGTTATAGTTGTGTTTGGCTGATTCGCTGTGGTGGCCATCTTGAATTAAGTTAGGTTAGGGTTGTAGCGGTTCATCCAGTGATTATTTTCCAAATTTCAATTAAATCTCAAAAGAYATTTTGCTAACAGACACAGAAACATGACTGTTGTCTTTTGGCAGCAGGCGACGGAGCAGAGTCTGCAGGTGTGGTCGACGGGTTTTATTGATCAGGTTCTGTCTGTCAGCGTCACAGCAGGACTTCAGGAGACACCAGTCTCATTACTGACTGTGAGGCTCCATATTGGAAATCAGCTCATGCTCATCTCACCCATGTCACTATTATTTATTCAGTGCAGAATAGGTAATAGGGAAAATAAGGAGAAGACTTTAAAAAACAAGGTCAGGAACAGTAATTATCTTACCTGCTTTAGACAGCACGTGGGACAACTTCAATTTGAATAGTTTATATGTGACAGGATGAATAAGCTAACGGCTAATCTAACCAATATTAAAGTGGATTACTGCCAACCTAAAATAACTAATTTTTTTTTATTTTAAACTTCCATCAGAAACAAGCTTCTGCAGGAAGTGACCTTCGTCTAAGAAGTGCTACAGYTAGTTGATGTTGTCACTTTTGCTCTTGAAAAATAMCCATAAAATGTCCCGTAAATATCCAGGTGATGTGAAACTTCTCACATGGACCACTGTACATTTTTAAAATAGGAGACTAGACCCCGGACTAGACTCACTCAGACTAGTCATTARCTAGGACTAGCATTAGCTTAGACTGTTAGCTCAGATTAATTGTTAGTTTAGACTGTTAGCCCAGACTGTTAGCTCAGACTGTTAGCCAAGGCTAGCTGTTAGCTCAGATTAAATATTAGCTCAGGCTGTTAGCCTAGGATAGCTATTAGCTAAGACTAACTGTTAGCTCAGACTGAGTGTTAGTTCAGACTTAGTGTTAACTCAGACTGTTAACCCAGACTTGCTGTTAGCTCACTAATCCGATCAGAATTAAACTTTCCTCTTAATTGAGGTGTTCAGAAATCTATCTACAACAGGTAAGATATTTATTGGTTGCAAGCTTCTTATAGACCTCAACTTCAAAAGATTTAAACCATTCTTTTAAGTTACAGAACCATGTTCAGGTATTTTGAACCTGCACAGACACACCTGTAAACAGAATTAATCTGGATTTTTTTCATCTGTTTGTTTTAATTTGTATCAGCCAAAGGGATTTGGACCAACGTGACCCGCTGAAGCTACTAAAGGGTTCAGAACCAAACCTTAACAGATGGATTTTATTTAKTTATTTGAGACAATAAACAGAACTCCTCTAAGCTTATAAAAGCTGAAATCCTAAAAACAAACATTTTTGGTTCTTCATGTTCTGGATGATGTGGTTCGGACCAAAGTCGGGTCGATAATGATTCAGATGTTCTGATAAGATACCTGAAGCAGCCGAACCAATCTAACATCTCCAAACTGATCCTGTGTTGTTCTGTCAGTAATTATAACCGGTTTAACTCCCAAGCAGTTTGGGATAATCTTCTGTTGATGTTGGGATTTGGTTTTTTCGGAGGTCATTTTRTGGTCAAATAAAAGGACAAATGGAGATTGGTTCTTCTTTTATGCTTTTTTTTATCAATCTGTCTGTAATCTGCTTATTGTGCTTTTACCTCATTGTGCATTTAGGTTCAAAAAAAGTAATAAAAAATATCAGGAAGATAAGAGATGAATCATCAAACGAGACGATGAACAATAAGCAAACAGGAACTGAGCGACAAGAYTTTTTGTCTTTATTTACAACTATTATAACAACAAAGACTCTCAGCTTCTACCTAATTTGAGTTAAATGGACAGATTTTGTGTCGTTTAATAACTCCAGTCTCTCCTCTAAAAAAGAACTGGGTGACGTGTTGGAGATGATTCTGGGCCCGACAGGCAGGCGACAGAGTCCTCACTGAGTTTAATGAAAAGCATTGCGCYGTGAAAAGGAAAGCCCTGCTCTGACGGAGCTACATTTGGAATATATTACCATCTCTGRGGCACGCAGTGACTCATTGTGCCTGCCTGTAATTGTTTTCATGCTCATACGGTTTGGATTAGATTGAATAACATGGAATAATATTGTTTGTAGCTGTCAGTACAGTAGTCATGTGGTTGGAAACACCAGACGGGAATTATACTTGTTTTTTTCTTCACAAACTGTCGACTGTGATCAGTTTGGATTATTCAAAATGGTTCTTTGTTCAACTATTAAAATAGAATTTTTATCACCCTCCTGATTAATTGTTAGGGTTTGTTTTGGTCTTTGACATGAAGCATTTTTTACAGATTTGGAGCTAAAACTTGGATTGGTAGTAGCTGAGACTGATCTCCAACTCGTACACYGAGTGCTGTTAAAACTCCTTTTTAATTTTGTTCAAAATATTCCTTCCTAAACCTAATTTTATGGTTTGTGTTTAAGAATATATCGATGTACTTTGTTATTGATTTGATAATTTATGAAGTGTTTAAACAATATGAATAAAAACTAACAAACTAATAGGGTTGAATGTAGATAAAATGGATCTACATCCACACAGAAAACAGCATTTTGTTTATAATTCACTGGATTGCTGAAAATTTACTGCCATCTTCTGGAAGGAAGTTGAGTTCACGTCTACACCAGAGGTTCTCAAACAACCAGTCCTACCAAKTATTTAAAGTCAGTCTAAACTTTATCTTAGTAGTGAGTTAAATAAGCTTTAAGGGAAGAGGAATTTAGTAAACCTTGACCCCAGGACCAGTTCTGAGGTTGATGAGATAGCAAACCATGCTTTAAAGGACTATCCAGAACCAAAGCCGGACCATCTCTCATGGATCTCATRAGGGAAGTGGTCTGGTTTGGAAACCTCTGGATCTCGTTTCTGCTGGTTTTGTTGGACAATGTTCAAGATGGTGCCTTCAAACCATGACCTTGACATCACGTGTGCTGGGACGACAGTCAGCTCCTCTAAGTCTCAGGTCATAGTTCTTAACTGGAAAAATTTGGAATGCTCCAWTTGGATTCAGGATGAGTCTTGGCCTCAAGTGGAGGACTTGAAGTATCTGTGAGTCGACCGGACGAAGCAGAGATGGATCAGTGGATTGGTACCTTGTCTACTGTAATGAGGACATTAGTGGAGACTTTGGGGGTTTCCCTACTGATCCTGAAACCTTTTGGACCCAATTGATGCATCAATAGATCGAGTAATGAATGGTTGGATGGACTGATCGAACAATAGATGATAGATGAATGGTTGGAACAATGGATGGATGAGGTCACTAATGGTGAACACCACCCAAGCCCAACATTTAACTCTCTTTCTGCCCGGCCCCTTGGGTCAAAAGACCTACTGAGTCCTCTYCAGACCTTTGGGCCCAAGGGCATCAGGAGGGTTAAAACTAGACTTTCCAACAAAACTCAAAAAACCGTCTTCATATTTCACATCCATCAAGATGTCAAACAGAAGGAAAACATTTTGTTAATGCTTTATAATAATGTTAATTTATTCACTGGAGAACATTCATTTCTTAAATTATCTGTGTACACAGTGATCACTTAATCCAGGATTTAAAATCCTTTGGTAGGGTCCTCTGGTATAATCCTTCAGTAAGACCTTCGGTGTAGTCCTCTGGTATAATACCTCAGTATAGTCCTCTGGTATAATACCTCAGTATAGTCCTCTGGTATAATACCTCAGTATAGTCCTCTGGTATAATCTTTTGGTGTAGTCCTCTGGTATAATCCTTCGGTATAGTCCTCTGGTATAATTCTTTAGTATAGTCCTCTTATATGTATAATGCTTCAGTATAGTCCTCTGGTACAATCCTACGGTAGTCCTCGGGTATAATCCTTCGGTATTGTCCTCTGATATAATCCTTCGGTATTGTCCTCGGGTATAATCCTTCGGTATTGTCCTCTGGTATAATCCTTCGGTATTGTCCACTGATATAATCCTTCAGTAATCCTCTCGTATAATCCTTCAGTAAAGTCCCCTGGTATAATCCTTCGGTAGTCCTCTGGTATAATACTTTGGTATAGTCCTCTGGTATAATCCCTCGGTATAATCCTTCAGTATAGTCCTCTGGTATAATCCTTTGGTATAATCCTTCAGTACAGTCCTTCTGTAAATTTCGTCCAGAGTAAAAAAGTAAAATATACTATTGCTAATGTCTGCACTTTCCCTGCATCAGTGCATATTTTGTAATCATAGTACCTCCCTTTAAATCATCACAATCTTGCAGGTTAACATTTGGTTTGTTCTGCACTGATCAGCCACAACATTATGACCAATGATGTGAAAAACAGAGCATGAGGAATGATGCATTCCTCTGAAGAACGATGTGACATTAATTTTATTGAGCATAATGTTATGGCTGACAGATTAATCTCTTTTTATGCACATTTCATTTGTTTTAACTACTTTTATAAAACATTTGTTGCATCGCTCACAGTTTCATAGATAAAAATCAACTAAACTAATCCATTCACTCCATCGTGTGCTTTTTAAAATCAGCCGAAGTTCGGCTGAACTGATCCTGCTTTAGTCCATCTCACCAGCTTTGGACTCTAGTTTTGAACAGTTCAGTCCAAAGTGTCCTCTTCCAAAAATACTTCCCATGGATCAGTGTGCTGGCTTCAGGAACTTCCTGATTAAGGTGTACCTTAAACATCCCTACTTTAGGTACCTTTGGTCGTGTAGTTCCTGCTGAACTACCTCCTGTTGGACGAACACACCTGGTGTCTCGTCCACGTTGTTGGAGCTGGTGAGGAAAGACATAAAGAAAAATTAAGAGGAGTTTTTTGACATCAGATATTTGATTTTAAGTGTTTCGGTCTCACATCGAGGCCGGCTCGGCTGCCTGGGGTTACTGGCGCTGCTGCCAAAGGAGGACTGGAAGTTGTGGATGGTCTCCTGGAGGATCTGCCGTTCTCGACCCTGGTGCAAACAACTGATGAAATTCTTCTATTTTCTATCAAATCTGAGTCACCAACTGGTCTCCCAACAAACTGGGCACCAACAAGTTTAAGTTTAACCAAAAGCACCTTTCCAGCGTTGAGCTCTGATATGGCTGCTAAGATCTGCTGTCTGGGCCCGTCGGTTTTAATCCCCAGCTCCTTCAAGTCTCCGTCTGTGAGCGTCAGGAAGGCTTCCATGTCCACCTGAGGAGGAAAAACAGACTTAAAAACATGTCTGAACAGCAAAATGAAGAGTTTCTCCATTTGAAAGACAGAATACCTCCTGCTCCTCAAATATTGGCTGATATTTCTCAAGGGAGAGCTTTTTCAAAATGCCAGAAAGCTCATCTGAAAAAAATATATAAATAAATAAAAGTAAAGACATGAACCAACCCAATTCAAGATGGCCGCCACAGCATTTAGAAACAGAAAAATATTCATAACTTAGGTAATTTCACAGAAATTGAGCTAAAATGTGTTGTGGTACTAGTTGAGAGTCACTGTTGATGGTGTGAGAGCAGAAAGACCTTCGTCTGTGATGGTTCCACTACTGGAGCCCCCGCTGCTCTTGGAGCGCGGCTGGGAAGAAGCCGAGGACAGAGAGTCCCCCGGCCCGGGGGACAGCTTGGGCGTCGGGGACGGAGATGGGGTCAGAGTGGGGGACGTGCTCTTAGAGGTGGAGGAATTCCCAGACTGAGATCTCTTCTTCAGCTCCATCTTCTGCAGGAGGACAGACACGAGCTAAAACTATAAACTGTTAGCATCTTCTGCTAATTGAAATCAGCTGAAGAGTCTGAAACCATCAGAAAAAAACCTAAAAGATCAACTAAAGAGAAAAGCTAAAGTAAACAGAAAATAGCTCAAATCTGATGTTACCAAAACTTCAGCTAAAACCAGAACTGTAGAGAAAAGCTAAAATTACTAGAACAGTGGCTAAAAGCTAAATATAGCAAAGTAGCTGAAACCTGAAACTAATCAAACATTTTCTAAAAGCTAAAACTAGCTAAACAGTAGGTAAAAGCTAAAATCAACTGAACAGTTGCTAAAACTAGCAGAACAGTAGCAAAAAGCTAAAATTTGCATAACAGTAGCTACACGCTAAAAATGCAGCGTGTTTATAATGTGAATGCTGACTCAGCAGTCATGGTGTGAACAGTGACTGAGCGGTCATGGCATGAAAGATGACTCAGCGGTCGTGAGGTGAATGCTGACTCAGCACTATGACCCTTTTCTAACCATCAGTTTTATTGTCTTTCTGTCACAGGAGAAACCGACCCGTCTGGGCTGGAGGTCTGAGGAGACCAGGCTGGGGTGTGCTGGGATCTCTGGCAGGCTCCTATCAGGAGGCTGAGGACCGGGTCCTGGAGCTGGCAGCGGAGCCGGGTTCTGCTGTTTCTCTGCAGGTAGAGCCTTCACCTCCATCAGACCTGCTGCTCTTTTACGTTGAGCTGCTATCTGTGACAGAACACTGTCTGCACTKCCCCCTGCTGGACAAAACACTTGTGTTACTTCAGTCAATTTAAAACAGTCTCATAAACCAGAATCTATCTTTTTGATTTGATGTCTGAGTGAACCTGAGCGGTTGAGCCCTGCAACTCCGTTTGAGCCTCCGGAGGAATGAGGGGAATGATAGTGACCAGAGTTAGAGGGTGAGGATGACGAGGGTCCTTTGGGGATGCTGGGGAACTTAAAGGACCGGTTCACCACTCGAGTGATGGACGTCTGAAACAAAGCAGAGGACAGCAGGAATAAAATGAGTATAAAAACACAAACTTCAACACAAATGTAACATTTCCTCACAGACACTCACGATATCTGAGTTCCCGCTGCTGTTGAGCTTCCTTTGAGGAGGCATGGGCAGGCGAGGCGGCTCGCTCTTCGCCTCCCTGGGGAAGTGAGATCGGTCCGAGTTCCACGGCTCRAAGTAAGACGGAGGTAAGAACGGAGGGCTGGCTGCTTTCAGCTTGTCGCTGGGAATCCTGGTGAGGGGGGCGCCGCTTCTTAGCTTTAGGACAAGCACAACAATAAGAGGGGCAGCGTTAAAAAAACACGAGTCAGCATCTTTTTATCTGCTACAGCAAGCTAGCTGTACTTTTATCTTCTTATGCTACTTGTAGCTACCACACTGCTAGTTTTAACTTGTAGCTAACCTTTCGGTATGACTTGGTTATAGCTAGCTTCGGCTTCTTTAAGCTAGCTTAATGAGACTTTTAGCTAACCTGATGTGTTTAGCTAGCATTTTGATTTTTCAAACTAAAATGTTGCTACTTTTAGCTAGCCTTTTGCTGCTTTTTCCCCTTGAAGCTAACATTCTGAAATGTTTAGCTAGCCTTTTACTACGTTCACTTTTTTGCACACCTTTTATTACATCATGTTTTTAGTCAATCTTTTGTTACTTTTAGCTTCTAGCTAGCATTTTACTATTATAGCTTTCAGCCAGCGCTTTGATGTGTTTAGCTTCTAGCAACCTTTTCAATGCTTTTAGCTAGTCTTTGGCTACATTTAACCAGTTGTTTGTTACTTTTAATTTCCAGCAAGCATTTCAGTACCATTAACTAGCTCTTTGCTACTTCTAGCTTTTAGCTAACCTTTTGCTATTTATTGCTTTTATCCATCGTTTTGCTACTTTTAGCTTTTAGCTAGCCTCTTGATACTTTTAGCTTCCATCAAACACGTTAATAACTTCACTAAACTTTTGCTAATTCTAGCTTTAAGCTAGCTATTTGCAATTTAAAATTTCTAGCTAGACTTTTGTTACTATTAGCTAACTATTTTAGCCTGCTCTTTAGTCCAAACACTCACCATTGTGGTTATAAAAGGGTCTTCCTGCTCTGAAGAGGCTCTGAAGGGACCTGCTAAAAGAAAATCACAACATTTTTTTACCATTCACCTCGTTTTTAATGAGCTTCGTTCAGAAAACACAAAAACAAACTTCAGCTCGTTAATTCAGAGTCACGACAACTCACCACTATCTTTAGTCTTGACCGCCCAGACGCCGCTCGTCTCGTTCGCTCCAGGAGCAGAGGACTGCGGCGCTGCAGAGCTAGCCGTAGCCGCAGCCTTTGAGTCCGCCCTCATCGTGGCGTCCAGAGGAGCTTCAGCATCGTTGGGAAACGGAGCAAGCCGATTGGTTGAAAGGCCATGCCGCAGAGTGTGAGTCAGCTTCAGTTGCCGGAAACGATTCGACATCCTGCTCCACCAGGACTGCACAGTCCAACACCAACATCAGAAAGTAGCTAAAAATATTAGCTGTTAGGCTAAAGTTAAACTTAGCACAACAGTAGCTAAAAGGAAGGATTAGTTCAACAGCAGATAAACACTCAAATTAGCAGAAAAGTAACTACCACATAAACTTAACTATAAGCTAATGTTAGCACAACAGTAAAGTAAAACTTATATGATCCAAACTATAAATAAAAGCTAAAACTTACAAAAACCTAGCTAAAAGCTAGAGCATTAAAACTTTAGTTCACACTAAAAATCCACAAAACAATAGCTACAGCTTTAAATTAGCACAACAGTAGGTAAAAGAAGAACTAATATCTACAAGCTAAACTTAACTAAGTGCTAATTTATCACAACAGCAGCTTAAATCTCAAGTGATGAAGTAAAGGTTGTGAGATAGCTAAAGCTAAAGCCACCAAAATAGTACAGTATATTAAAGTGAAAACCTAAAGTTAGCTAAACTGTTACTTAAAATTAAACTTAGCACAAAAACAGCTAAAAGTTTAACTTAGCACAACAGTAGCTTTAAGCTTATAGATCAGCAAGAGCAAAAAACTGAAGTTTAGCACAAGAGCTGCTAAAAATTTCACTTAGCATAACAGACTCCAGAAGCTAAACTTAGCTCAAGAGTAGCTACTATCTAAATTTAATTAAAAGCAAATATTAGCGTGACAGTAGCTTAAATCTCAAATTACAAAAACTGTAAATAAGAGCTAAAATTGACAAAAACCATAGCTAAAAGCTAAAGCCATCAAAACTGTAGATCAAAGTTGAAATCAGCAAAATAGTGGCTAAAGCTTAAAATTACCACAATAATGGCTGAAAGCAAAGATTAGCACAGCAGCAGTTCATAATAAAAATAATGAATTTCATTTGGAGCGCACTTTTCATTAAMAAGAATCTCAAAAAGTGCTACAAAAAACAAAATTAATGTTAAACAACCAGCAGAATCAAACAAAGGAACAATAAAAATGCACTAAAAATAACAGCTAAAGCTCAACCTTTAAACTCTGTTAAAAGCTAAACTTAACTATAGTAGCTAGTAATAGCAGCTTTAATTCCAAGTGAGGAAAAATAAATAAAAGCTAAATTTGACAAAAACCTTAGCTAAAAGCTAATGCCATCAAACCTGTAGATCAAAGTTAAAATCAGAGAAAGAGTGGCTAAAGCTTAAAATTAACACGGTAATGGCTAAAAGAAAAGATTAGCGCTCCAGTGGTTTAAAGCTAAACCTAACTACAGTAGCTAGTAATAGTAGCTTAAATCTCAAATGATAGAAACTGTAATTAAAAGCTAAAATATGCAATATTTTATCTAAAAACTAAACATTTAAAACATCAAAAATTTTAAACTAAACCATACAAAATTGAAGCTAAAACTTGAAAATATTCCAATAGTAGCTAAAAGCTAGACTAATGGAAGTATTTGCTGAAAACCAAACAGATCAATTGAGCCTCTGCTACCTTCAGGCCTCCCTTGTCATCRGGCGGAACTGGGACGTTGTTGAGGGACTGTCTGCTTTTAGAGCGCGTAATAAAAGCTCTGCCTCGGTGTTTCGGCTTGTCTTTATCCACCTGCATGCAGACTGATGCTAACAGCCGGACCAGCTCTGTGTCTGACAGAAACAGCAAACAGGAAATAAAACAGCAATGACAGAAACCAGGACTGCATCACGGTAGCACTGAGGTCTGATCATAAACAAAGAGATCTACCTGGGTCGTTGAGCAGCATGACCAGATCAAAGGCCGTGTAGCCGTTCTTAGCTCGCAGGTTAACGTCGGCTCCTTGACCCAGCAGGTACTTCACAATGTCTTTATTGCTGGGAGAGGACGATTAGAGGACAGGAAGACAAACGGTAGAAGACAATGAAAGAGTTGTAAAAACACTTAAAGACACAGATTCTGCCCCTGCAGCTCGGACCGACCCGTGGTACGTGGCCTGCATCAGAGCCGTCCACCCGTGGACGCCGTCCTGTTTGTCCACGTCGGCGTTCTTCTCCACCATCAGCTGCACCACCTCCAGCTGCCCGCTCACCGCCGCCATCATCAGAGGCGTCGCTCCCTCCTGATTGGACGAGTTCACCTGGGCCGGGTCCTCCTCCAGGATGTCTTTGACCAGCTGGGAGTTTCCTGAGCGGAGACCAGGGGGACGGTCAGGGTCGGGGGTCTGGGTTCAGGCTGGACTCACCTGGTGCTGAGACTCACCAAGCCTGAGAGCGCTGAACACGTCGGGCCGCTTCCTCTCGTCGTCTGCAGAGAAATGAGCGAATCAGAGCCGAGACAAACACTCATTACTGACTGGTTACTGAGACAGGACCGAGCTGTACCGGTCTGAGGTCTGACGGTGGTTATAGAGTCCAGGTACGCCTTGATGTCTCTCTGTTTCAGCTGCAGGGACAGCTCTAAGGCCGTCTGGGACAGAACGTTGACCCGGTTCGGATCTGCTCCCCTCCCCACCAACTGCTGAGCTACAACCTTCTGCAGAGACAAAAAAAAAGCTTCAACTGCAAGCAAAACCACAGAAATACARTTAAATCAGCTAAAGAAGCTGAAACTCAGCTGTTATAGCTAAAAAATGCTAAACATTAGCTAAAAGTTAGCAGAAGCAAAAGTAGCTAAAACTATCAAAGGATAACTGAAAGTAAGCTTTTAGCTAGCCTTTTGATTTTCTTAGCTAGCTTAGCTTTTAGCTAGCCTCTTACTACTTTCAATTACATTTAGCYTTTTAGTTAGTCTTTTGGCTATTTGTAGATTTAAGCATGTCTTTTGCTATTTTTTTCTTAGGTTTTGTTACTTTTGCTAGTTAACTGCTGCCTATAGCTAGTGTCTTGCCACTTTTAGCTTCAAAATAGCCAAAAGCTTTTTTAAAATGTTTTTCAGCTAATACTTTGCTGCTTTTAGCTAAACTTTTGTTATTGTAGCTTTTAGTCAGCCTTCTGTTACTTTTAGCTGCAAGCTTTTTGTTATTATGTGCCCTTTCCTAGCCTCTTTTAATGTTCAGCTATAAAATGGCTTCTTGTTAGTTAGGCTTTTAGCTACCCTTTTGCTTTTCTTTGCTAGCTTAGCTTTTAGCTAGCCGTTTGCTATTTCTGGATTCTTGGCACACTTTCACTTTCAGGTAGGAGTTTTGCTAGTCTTTTGATTTCATTAGCTAGCTTATCCTTTAGCTAGCCTCTTGCTACTTTCAATTACATTAGCTTTTTAGCTAGTCTTTTGGCTGTTTGCAGTTTTAAGCATGTCTTTTGCTTAGTTTTTTTATTTTTAAATTTAGCTAGCTATTTGCTGCTTATACTTAGCATTTTGCTACTTTTAGCTTCTGAATAGCCATTTGCTTCTTTTGCTTTTCACCTAGTATTTTGTATTTTAGCCAAACCTTTGCTATCTGTAGCTTTTAGGTAGTCTTTTGCTGCTTTTAGTTAGTCTTCTGCTATTACTTTGTATTTTTTTCTAGTCCCTTTTAATGTTCAGCTACAAGAAGCCAGCTAAATGTTAAACAACATTAAAAGAGGCTAGGATAAAATACAAAGTATTAAAAAAGTTTACAGCTAAAAATAGCAAAAGGCTAACAAAAAGCAGCAAAAAAACTAGATGAAAACTAGCTATAGGCAGCAATTAGCTAGAAAATAACAAAACATATGCAAAAAAAGCAAAAGGCATGCTTAAAAACTATAAACAGCCAAAAGATTAATTAAATTCTAAATGTAATCAAATGTAGCAAGATAGCATATGCTTACAATAATAAAAGACTAGATAAAAGTTGTTAAAAGCTACAAAACGCTAATACTAGCTTAAATCTAAAAGAACCAAAATATTAGCTAAAGGACAAAAAATATCTAGCGTCTAGCTAAAAGCAGCAAAAGACTACATAAATCTACAAATAGCAAAAGCTTAGCTAAAAACAGCAAAATTCTAGCTGAAAAGCAAATGAAGCAAATGGCTATTTAGAAGCTAAAAGTAGCAAGATGCTAGCTATAAGCAGAAAATAGCTGGCTAAACATGAACATAACAAAAATTAAGCAAAGGTCAGGCTTAAATATTACAAATAGCCACTAAACTAACTGAACTAATAGCTAAATGTAGTCAAACGTAGCAAGTACTAAAAACGGTAAAAGGATAAGTAAAAGTAGGAAAAGGCTTGCTAAAAGCTACAAAAACCTACTACTAGCTTAACACTAAAAGAACCAAAATATTAGCTAAAAGCCAAAAATAACAAGAGGCAAAAGCAGCATCAAACTACCCAAAATCTACAGATAGCAAAAAATTGGGCTAAAAGCAGCGAAATACTAGCTGAAAAGCAAATGCAGCAAATGGCTATTTAGAAGCTAAAATTAGCAAGATGCTAAAAGTAGCAGAAGGCTAGCTACAATTAGCAGAAGATAGAATTAGAGACGGTCGTTTTGAAGCAAAGTGTATTTCTATGAGGTAATATTTGTTTCAAAGTATTCTTTGTACTTTTATTTACTTTTATTGTTCGTACGATTTATTTTTTATAAAGTTTGACGTGACGTCTGGCCTCACCTTCCCACTCAGGGTGGCCGCCATCAGGGGACCCCAGCCGGTGGTTTTGTGGGTAAAGTTGACGTCAGAGCCCCAGTCCAGCAGCAGGCGGACGGTGGCCTCGTCTCCATGCTGAGACGCCACCATCAGAGCAGTGATGTCCATGAACTCTCCTCCTCCTCCTGCAGCTGGACAGCCCTCAGCCAGTCCAAACCCAGCTGCACTGTGGGGACAGAAGGAGGGGGTCAGTGTGTCACAGAGCAGAGACAGCGTCACATGATGACAACACAACCTGCAGTTGTTGTTGTTGTTGCCTCCGGATATCGTCTCAGCAGCAGTCAGGTGGTCGTAGTCGTCGACGAAGGCCCCGCTCTCCAGGAGCAGCTTGACCACGTGGACGTGGCCCCCACGGGCCGCCATGGTCAGGACGCTGGCCCCCAGCCGGTTCCGCCCGTTTATCTCCGCCCCRTTCTCCAGGAGGAGGTGGGCCACGGTCAGGTGACCAAACCTTTAATTATACAAAAATAAATACATAAATCCAGRTCAAAACAGTTCTGCTCTTGTCTKTTAGCAAAATATCTSATGAACCAACRGACAGACGGAATAAAGATGGCCGCCACAAATGATCAACTTTAAAATAAAACATAAAAACATGTAAAACTTAGATAATTTAAGAGATGGAGCTAAAGTTTGGTGAAAGGTTGTCCTCTGGCCCCGCCTCTAGCATCTGTTCAGKGATGCTGTGGCACCCTGTGCACCCCAGCTTCCTGCCCACTTTAGCTCATTTATAAGCTAAATATAAAGAAATACAAATATGGATCAAAACTTTAGCTCATAAAGAAATACAAACTGGATCAGAACTAAATGAAACCCYCAGACCCTCGGTCCTCCTGGCCCCACCTGGCTGCCTGCATCAGCGGGCTCCAGCCGTAGTTGTTCCGGCTGTCCACCGACGCGCCCTTCCGCAGCAGGAACCGGACCAGGTTCTCGTAGCCCCCCGCCGAGGCGAACTGCAGGGCGGTGTTGCCCTCCTCGTCCGTGGAGTCCACCGGGACCAGGGGCGGCGTGAGGTCCAGGGCCGGACACTCCGAGCCCGCCTCCGACCTCAGCCTGCTCTGCCGACCCGACTCCCTCTGGACCCCGGGCTCCAGGATGCCCCGGACCGTGTCCCAGTCCCCCTCATCGCAGGCCCGGAGCAGCAGCACCGAGCTGGCGGGGACCCCGAAGTTCATGTCTTCATCTGCTGGGTTTTTATTCCGCCTCCATTTTTATCTTTGACGATGCTCAGAAACTTTTCTTCTTCTTCTTCTTCTGTCACTCTTTGGCCTCCGTTTAAAAAGCATCACGCGCAGGAAATAAAGTTAAATTTTCACAATAAGACCTGAAACTATTATTTAAAACATTCTCTGTTATTAAATCCGTCATAACATGTCTAAACTAAACAACTTTCCACGGTTCTGCCCGGTCCCGTTACTTCTGAACTCCGTCAAGACTCAAACATAACCAATCACTTCACTTCCGCTTATTTACAAAATAAAAGCCTAAAATAATCAGGAATAGTTTTTACATTTATCTAGAACTTTAACATTTCAGCTTTCTTTTACTATTTGTAGCATTTTGCTAATTTACCAAGGTTTTTGAAACCGTGGTCCTCTAGCTATCATTTTTTTTTGCTATTTTTAGGTTTTAAGTGTTTTGTTTCTTTTAGTTTGATTTTCCCTACTTTTGTTTTCAGTTAGCCTTTTTCTAAATTTACTTTTTGATAGCTTTTTGCTGCATTTACCTTGTGTTTTGTTTCTTTTAGTTGATTTTAAAAATAAGTTTTCTTGTTTTGCTACTTGTATTCATAGCTTTTAGAAACAAAAAATGTGCATGACTGTTGTGACTTCTGTGTTTAGATAAATGTTATAAATTACAAGTGTCACAGTTTTGAAATATGTCTGACAGACAGCAAAAAATGTAACATTAAACATATTTATGAAACATTTTATTATTTAAATAAATAAATAAATAAATAAATAAATAAATAATATTTTTTTAGACTTATGTTTAAGCAAAACAAGTGAAATTCCTAATTTAAAACAAAATTTGTTTTGTGTACAACATATTTTGTTGTTGTTTTTATATATTTGTTTTTTATATTTAAGTATATATTTTTTTCTTTAGATTTTTGAATGTTGTGAAATAGTCAAAACTCAAAACTCTCCTTTATGTCGTTTGYTGGTATTTGGCGCCCTCTGGTGGTCAATAAGAAACTACTGTGGTTTATTCACCGTTCTCAGATCACCACAGAAGAAGAAGCAGAGCCCCGGATGTTGAGTATATATTCAGGAAACGGGCTTCGGCTCGCTCTTTTCTACGAACGACCAACCACGTTTGTGGCCCAAGTTCCTGGCTCACCGCTGTTCGCTCGAGTTTCTCCCGAATAAGTCGGTCAGGAATAATTAAAATGGTAAGTGCTGTTTGAGTAAACCAAGGGCTAAMTTATGTCTCAGATTTTATAGTTTTTGAAGGTTAATTTAACTCGTATTTTAATGTAGCATTGTTGCTAGCTCCCGCATTTGAAGTCCCGCCGGATACAGTTCTTAAAACTCATGATTAACTATACTCGTTGTGTTTTTAGGTTAAACTTTTAATGTAAATTCATTACCCTGGCTTATTATGATCTTTAAARTATAGYTATCAGTTCGTCTTTCAGCTTTTTYTGATCAGTGAGTTATTTTGTTTGTAAAATAAGTAAAAAATGTGAAACRTTAAGCTACTCGTGCTGGTGCGTTCACTGCCTGAGCTTGACATGTAACTTCCTAAATCRGAACGAAAAACTGCTCAAAAGCTAATAAATTGAATTTTAAAAGCGATAGTAATATTTTATGTTAAAAAATGTTAAATTACTCCGTGTTCTCAGTAACTGGACGCAAACTAAATGTTTAAAATGACAACTGAAAGTCTTCCCATTCAATATTTGCAAGATGTTCATTGAGTTTTTACAACAATAACAAATAATAAATAGTGGATTGGGCTTAAGTGTTTACACTCTTATTAAACAGAAATCTGTGTA